CTAGACATGAAAGCAGGAATTGATGTATTAAATTAACGACATTCCTACAAAATTCAAGAGACGGATTCTCGGCGCTACAACCGCAAACGCTGATCAATAAAATTAAGCCAGGAGTCAACGCAGCCCACTCATTACACGCTGCCATTCCAGGCCGCGGATCGAATATGACTTCCGGGCATCGTTAAATTACGTAATTTTACGTTCACCGCATCTGAGGTTAGGTTTCAGATAGCATAGTTCTGTTCCAAAATTTATCGTCCCTCGACAAGTGGCCGTTCGACCGAGGGCTGGTTCGACCCACGGCCTAGATACGGACGGCTTGAAGTGTTGAAGGCTACGTTCCGGAAGGCAGGAATCATGATGGTCCATTACATCCAGGGCAGTTGTGGTCTTCGGCAGGCGACCCCCACTCACCATGCTTACCAGCGTGAGCCTGGTAACTAAATGACGGACAAATAGCGCAGCTACAGCACGAGATAATTTAATAAACGGAAGTCTCACGACTATGATGGATTTATCTGGAAGTCAAGGCATGACCTTAATATGCTCAGTTTGCAAACAGTTGTTGTTGGTGTCGGATTTTTTTTTTGCCAATGTTTATCGGGCGTCTAGGATAAATTTACGAATGGACTCTTTTCCTTAGGTCAGTGATTTGTTCTGAATGTAACAGATAATTTGGACTGTACCATATCAAAAACTACATTTTGACTGTACTTTTTTTCTAGCATTTAAGTGTATTTTATTGTAGTCAGGAACTTTTACTGTGTATATCTAACTATATTGTTTAGAAACGGTATTTGGATGAATATTGTAAAGGTTATGCCTATGAACGCTAGTTTTCTTCGATAAGAATTTGACTTCACAGAAAATATTTCAGTGAGATACTATGAGTAACTTAGAACATAACGAAGCTCATGTGGAAATGGACTGAACCGTCTCAGCGCAGCATCACCTCCAATTTTCAGAGGAAGGAAGTAAATGTAGAATTAGTCTCTGTTAATACAATTCTTTGGGTATTGACAAATACCAACATGGCACGTGATAATTTATAAGACAAATATATGGCTTTGATATGGCACGAGATAATTTATGAAAGAAAATTTCACGACCATGAAGTCAAGGAACGTAGCGCCCCGTATTATAAACGTAAGGCTCCGTATCCGTACGTAGCGCTCCGTATTATACACATAACACTCCATATCCGTACGTAGCGCCCCGTATTATAAACTTAACGCTCCATATCCGTACGTAGCGCCCCGTATTATAAACGTAAGGTTCCGTATCCGTACGTAGCGCTCCGTATTATATACGTAACGTTCCCTATCCGCACGTAGCGCTACGTATTCTACACGTAACTCTCCGTATCCGTGCGTAGTGCTACGTATTATGTCGGTTAACAGTTCCAAGCGAATAAGAACTATGAGATTTACTACGACATGGTTAACATTTAAAAATATATAGCGATTTCTGACATGAATCTGAAAATATCTGGTATAAATGTGACGTAAATCGTACAGAACTTCATCATAAACCTAACTGAAATGTGATAGGAATTTGATATATTGATTATTACAGACCGATATTATTATTATTGTTTATTATATTATTATCATCTCTTATTTATTATCTGACCAAAAGATAAATTGGAATAGAAATTGATGGATTTTAATATACTTTATTTGTCCTCTCGAAACAATCGAGTTTTGTCTTTGAATAAGCTTGTAAAACTTCAGTTAAATAAATATTATTTTTTGCGTATCGAGCTTGCTTTGCATGCTGTACAACGTTGCATGCTGGTCATGCTGTGCTTGCCGTGCATGCTGTGCCTGCTGGTCATGCTTTGCATGCTGCTCATGCTGTGCCTGCTGGTCATACTGTGCCTGCTCGTCATGCTGTGCATGCTTTGCATTTTGTGCATACTGTGCTTGCTGTGCCTAACGGTTATGCTGGGCATGCTGGTCATGCTGTGCATACTGTGCCTGCTGGTCATGCTGTGCTTGCTGTGCCTGCTGGTCAAGTTTTGCATGCTGGTCATGCTGTGCTTGCTGTGCCTTCTGGTCAAGTTTTGCATGCTGTGCTTGCTGTGACTGCTGGTCAAGTTTTGCATGCTGGTCATGCTGTGCCTGCTGGTCAAGCTGTGCATGCTGGTCATGCTGTGCTTGCTGTGCCTGCCGGTCAAGCTCGCATATCATTGGGATGCATGGTTGGCCTCTGCAGGCCTCGCATATCATCATTGGGATGCATGGGTGGCCTCTGCAGGCCTCGCATATCATCATTGGGATGCATGGGTGGCCTCTGCAGGCCTCGTTATCATCATTGGGATGCATGGGTGGCCTCTGCAGGCCTCGCATATCATCATTGGGATGCATGGGTGGCCTCTGCAGGCGTCGCATATCATCATTGGGATGCATGGGTGGCCTCTGCAGGCCTCGTTATCATCATTGGGATGCATGGGTGGCCTCTGTAGGCCTCTCATATCATTGGGATGCTTGGGTGGCCTCTGCAGGCCTCGCATAACATCATTGGTATGCGTGGGTGGCCTCTGCAGGCGTCGCATATCATCATTGGGATGCNTATCTCTTTTTCTCGATACTATCATTCCATTCATATAAGAGCGTCACAATTCCATTCATATACGTTAAACGATATCTCTTTTTCTCGATACTATCGTTCCATTCATATAAGAGCATCACAATGGCCGGTCCATTGATACACAGAGCCCAGGGTCGTGAATGGCCAGTCTGACGCCAGCGCTCGGCTGGTGAGGTGATGGTGGTGTCATGTCGACCTGAGCTGTCATGTCGCCAGTCACAGGGGTGCAAACTTGGGACTTTAGAATTACTTTCATTGGCCTTTCGATCATGAAGTAACCTTCGAAGAAACTAGTGAAGAATAAAAACTATTTGAAAATTTTTATTCTAAAATTTAAAATTGCAGCTTCGCAAAGAAGTATTGTAAAGAAATGTCGTCAGTCACAAGGGTGCATTCTTGGGCCATCAGAATTACTTTCATTGGCCTCTCGATAATGAAGTAATATTGGAAAAAACTAGTGATGAATAAAAAAAATTGAAATTTTTTAGTCTAAAATTACAGCTCCGTAAAAAATTGTAAAGAATTACAATGTATTGAAACTATGCAGAAGAAAGATCGATGAGTTAATATCCTAGGCAAATTTTTCTAGTATGAGTCTGTTTCACGTAAAAAGAAGGAATTATTTATAATATAAAGCTCTGTGGACTTTGCTTTTATTGATAAATTATGAGGTGTGGCGACTCGCAATTATTATATAATATCAATATTATATTATATGTATTATGGCGACTCGCAAACAGGCCACTTCTCAATATATTTGTGTTTAATTATTCGTATTGTCTGTGTTGAATTATTCCTATTATATTGTTTATGTTGAGTAATTCGTATTGTCTTGTTTGTGTTGAATTATTCGTATCATCTTCTTTGTGTTGAATTATTCGTATTATCTTGTTTGTGTTATATTATTCGTATATCTTGTATGTGTTAAATTATTCGTGTTATATTATTTGTGTTGAATTAATCGTATCATCTTTTTTGTGTTGAATTATTCGTATTATCTTGTTTGTGTTGAATTATTCGTATTAACTTGTTTGTGTTAAAATTTTTCGAATTATCTTGTTTGTGTCGAATTATTCGTATCTTCTCGCTCCTCATTTATCGATCATCGTTTTTGTTGCTGCGTTAATTAGTGTTGGCAGCTGAGCCACACACCAGACATTTGGCGTTGAAATAACGTTAGTTATACGTTATTTCAACGTAATCAACTCTTAATCAACGTTTTTCAACATCATTTGTGTGGGGAAAGCGGCAGTAAGTGCAGACAATGACAAGATGTTGCCCGCACCAACTAACAGGCTAATCAAGCGCATCTATATAGTGGGAAGCTATAGAAATTTCAATGTTGTACTAAAAGCCATAAAAATTCAGATGAAGCACAATGTTGTAGCCATAAAAATTCCAATGAAGCCATAGAAATTCCTATGTTGTACTAAAAGCCATAAAAATTCCAATTAAGTACAATGTTGTAGCCATAAAAATTCCAATGTTGTAGCCATAAAAATTCCAATGTTGAACTTGACGCCATCGAGAAACTCTCAAATTTACCCTGAATTAATATCTAATTACCCTAATTTGAGTTTTTGATCCCAATTGCCTGAAGGAATCTTATGGTCTAAATGAGATGCCATCAGTATTTGATGCATTTAAATTCAAGTAAAATAATATTCAAGTAAATATAAAGTAAAATATTCAAGTATATGCGGTCTACATCGAGGAAAGTATTCGGATTTTTACATTATTTGTCCTAAATGCATTAATATATTATGCAAACTTGAAGTATTTACAACATTATCATAATTAACCATCATCAACAAACATTGAATGGATGCTTTCAACTTTTTATCTAGATCGACACCGATATTCTATTCAGCGTTGGCATTCGCATTCAAACCATTCAACACGACGTTTAACGTTCAAAAAATTTTACAGTTCATCACACATTCAATATTATTCCAGTCACACATTATTCAAGATCACACATTTATTGCTACATGATTTCTTAAAACAAAATCGATACTGAGGTATGATTTCTTGAAACAAAATCGTTACTGAGGTATGATTTCTTAAAACAAAATCGTTACTGAGGTACGATTTCTCAAAACAAAATCGTTACCGAGGTATGATTTCTTGAAACAAAATCGTTCCTGAGTCATGATTTCTTAAAATAAAATCGATACTGAGGTATGATTTCTTGAAACAAAATCGTTACTGAGGTATGATTTCTTAAAACAAAATCGTTCCTGAGGTATGATTTCTTGAAACAAAATCGTTACTGAGGTATCATTTCTTAAAAATCGTTACTGAGGTATGATTTCTTAAAAATCGTTACTGAGGCATGATTTCTTAAAAATCGTTACTGAGGCATGATTTATTAAAACAAAATCGTTACTGAGGTATGATTTATTAAAACAAAATCGTTACATGAGGTATGAATTCTTAAAAAATTCAGCACTGCAGCCACGGACCGCCTCGCTCGCGTGACTGTCATGGCTGCTGTCAGCACACATCCATCAGCCATAAGGGTGTCAGCATCACATCCACACGTCGGCTGACACTCGAACCTATAACATGTCTGATGGCGCTCGAGCTTTGGGCGCCTCTAACGTCATCTACGTCTTCCCTACAAGTAAGTTCAGTAACTACATCACATAGTTACTTTGATGCTGGTTATGTTATGTATGTTAGATCATAACAATAGTTATGTATTGTACATAACAACATACATAACATACATAACATAGTTACTTTGATGCTGGAAATTTTCAAAATAGTAGTGTTATAACAAACCTTATAGTTAAATAGGTTGTGTCAGACACTTATTTGATGGATAGGTTATTAACACGTTGGTTGGTTGATACATAGCTTGTTAACCAGTTTAGTCATTTATGTTATTTGATTTATAGATTGTTATGATTTAAGAATGTTGATTCATATCTCGGGTACTTACATACGTTCATATTACGATTATTTTAGTCATATTAATATTTCTTTTAATGGCAAATATACTATAAAAAGCTTTTTTGGTTTTCACTCTTAACTCGCATCACCACAATGAAGGTGATGGGATATATATACTTGCATTTATAACTCGCATATATTCGTCACCACAGTCGCTCGCACCCCTCCATTGCAGTAATTTCTGATCACCATGTACTGATGAAAACTATTGATAATGATAACTATAGTGTTATCGGAAACCCATCGTGATATCGCTAAATATTAATCAATAGTTAATCTTGATAGAGACTTCCCCGTTAATTAATGGTCCCACTAATTGTTTAGAAGATCGAGGTCGTTCTTCAATTCCCACTTCTAACCGGAGTTATTGAAGGGTTTGCGTAAATACGAAATTCAAAGTAATATACATGAGAAAATTGATCAAGAAATTTTGCGTTTACCTGCGTTTGCATTTCAATATTCTTTTTAGTATCAGAATCAAGTGCAGTTGCGATTCGAGGTTCGGGGTTAAATGCCTTGCAAAAATTTTTAATGTTCCTAAATTTATTGATAGCATGAGCACCGAACACAACAATGATTAAATTGCACGACTAGTCGAGGTCGCTTCAAAAGACATTTGAAATTAAAAGTGAAAAAATGAGACCACGCACAGCCTAATACATTAATAATGATATGTTATGTATACTAATTTTTTATTTTAGTCCCTTGAATATTTATATACAACAGTATTCGCAACAACACAGCAACAGTCGACAGTCTATAAATGGTGCACATTTATAAAAATACGCAACAGTCTTCATGACATAAATTGAACGACATAAGATGATAAAAACGGTGCATAGTTCAATTTATTTATATACGATCAAGCAGATCGAGAGCTTGATCTATATTTCTCTAGGTGATCACATCAGACATTCTAAATGTTGGAAATACAGATGAATAATTTATAAAGATTAGCATCAGGACGACCAAGGTTGACTGTAACAGTTGAATTCCGAGAAAATCGATCATATTCAACCTATCAAAAAAGGCAGAATTTGTTTTTTTCGTATTGGAATTTGCGTTGATTCTTAGAAAATTTCGAACACAAACAATTGAATTCAACTCCGTTCGAGTGTGTTCCATGTATACAATTGTTAGTGCCTCCTCGTACCCATTGTAATGATTTAGCTTAGATTATTTAGAAGCCGATGTTGTGGCAAAATCACCTTAACTATCGAAAGGTATTGGTTTTAAAGTTTTCTTTATTCGTCATAACTTGGGCAGTCGACCCCTTGTCTATGGGTAAGAGCTTAGTTTTCTATTGAATAATAGAAAAGTTGTATACTTCAAGTTAATAATTTTAATAGTTGCGTTATAATTGTCTATCGATTTTTATCTTGTTCCTATTGCTGCTAATTTAAGCATGTGATAATTTTTAGGTGTAAGAAGTCTGAAGTACTTCCCTCCTCTGTCGCTCTGTTCATGCTTCTGAACTCCTTCAATAAAACTACGTCTGATATGTATTCTGATAACCTACGAGCAGAATAAATGTAGAATGACCCTTAGTTGATTCTGGAAACAATGACGAAAATGAACCCGTAGACTTCATTACACCCATTCAATAGAAAAGGTTGAAGGCTTATCTAAAATCATGAAATCATATACGAGTGCAGACAGCACAATCAAGAATTATCATCATCATGCCCTTTATATCAACTAGTTTCATTTAGCTTTAATGTAGAAAAATTATACTCAAGACTTCATTGCCGTAAGGTCTTTAATTTGTCTGCAGCTCATGAAGTAATTTTGTCGCACTCAGGAGGAAGAAAAGTCTCAGGAATGTCCGAAGTTCCGTAATTATCGTTAGAAACTCGTTGAAGGGAAACTTAATTAATCTCAATCGCTATATCGTTATTATCGTTAGAATATATTTAATATTTTAATAATAATAATAATAATATTTCCCGTTATTACCGTTAGAAACTCGTTGAAGGGAAACTTAATTAATCTCAATCGCTATATCGTTATTATCGTTAGAATATATTTAATATTTTAATAATAATAATATTTCCCGTAATTATCGTTAGAAACTCGTTGAGGGGAAACTTAATTAATCTCAATCGCTATAAGAACGTCCCGAAAATGTACCAAGCTCAAGTGGCCTCATAAGGCCGGCGGCGAGAGCTCAAGTCGATGAAGCGTTGATGGCTTGTTGATAATGTGGGAGCATGAGACAATGATACTCCGCGTATCATTGTTCAGCGTATCATTGCTCAGTGTATCATTGTTCAGCGTATCATTGTTCCAGCGTATCATTGTTCAGCGCATCATTGTTCCAGCGTATCATTGTTCAGCGTATCATCGTTCAGCGTATCATTGCCCAGCGTATCATTGTTCAGCGTATCATTGCTAAGCGCACCACAGCTCTTCTGCGTATCATTGTTCCAGCGTATCATTGCTCAGCGTATCATTGTTCAGCGTATCATTGTTCAGTTTATCATTGTTCTACGTATCATTGTTCAGCATACCATTGCTCAGCGTATCATTGTTCAGCGTATCACTGCTCAGCGTATCACTGCTCAGCGTATCATTGGTCTCTTATACACATCTAGATGTGTATAAGAGACAGCCCCAGCACATCCCCTGCACAATTACTCCTCCCCAACACATCCACTGCACAATTACTCCTCCCCAACACATCCCCTGACATCGGGGAAGCTTTCGTGCAATGAGGGCTTGCAATAAAAGGCGGAAGACGCGCGCCCGTTTCTAGAAATGCAATATTTTTAAGAGGATGCAATGAACCGAGAGGACATTTTGATGTTCCCTTTAAAATACAAAATAATATTAATGTTGTTCCTCTTATATTGATCGCACAATCGAAACGCATCAAGTGTAAAAAAATATTTGTTTACAATAGGCAAGGATCTCATAAATGTTCAATAAAATGTAGTATATTAATCTTCTATAAGTAAAAGAGTGCCTTAAAAAATGCTAGTCAGACCTCGATGGGTAATGGATATAATATCAATAATATCGATATTATATCAAAATATTATATAGTATCAAAGTAATATCAATAGTATTAGGAAATCCGCTTCATCGTGAAACATAGTCTGACATTTTTCCAAAAAAAATTCAGCATAATCCAGCTCCATGTTTTCCGTGTGCCGAATAATCGAGAGACGCGGCGTTCCGGAGAGCGAATTGCATGCGTCTGGCGTGACCGTAAACCGTAACCGTAAACCGTAACCGTAAACCGTAACCGCAAACCGTAACCGTAAACCGTATACCGTATACCGTAAATCGTAACCGTAAACCGTAACCGTAAACCGTAACCGTAACCCGTAACCGTAACCGTAAACCGTAAACGTAACCGTAACCGTAAACCGTAACCGTAACCGTAACCGTAAACCGTAACCGTAAACCGTAACCGTAAACCGTAACCGTAAACCGTAACCGTAAACCGTAACCATATACCGTAACCGTAAACCGCATGCGTCTGGCGTAACCGTAAACCGGAACTTTATGGCTCGATCGATCAGCTAGGAGATCGCGAAATGATCCTTGCGCCAACTTTCAATATTGGCAAATGATCTGCAATGTGGCCCGTGATGACCTCAAGCAATCAACGAAGATTATCTTGACATGATAACATTGCAAAATTTTATGAATATATAAATAATAAAGAATATGTCCACAGTATTCACTGTTATCATATTATTGATATTGAATATAATTGTGATAACAATATTTCATCTTTATTCCAGACATTTCGTCCCAGGTCGATTTTCGAGTCAAAGTTTCATCTTTTTATTTGAGTTTCGGTTTAATCTAGATTATGATCGAAAACCTTTCAAGGTCTCACTGAATGTCTAAAGTCAGCATGTTAGAAAATTATGTTGCGATCTTGGAGGTTTGAACAGTTCCCTCATATTGAAAATGAAATTAGAATTTCGAATAAAGTTGGCATTGACCTATATCTACATCAAAAAGTTTTCCCTGAACTAACATCTCAAATTTTAATTTGAGTCATGTGATTATAGCATATGAAATTGGAGAGTTTAAATTTTCTAAAAATTTTATCATTTTCAAAACATTATTCCTGTTCCCGTAAATTTAGAAGAAAAATGTTGCGTTTTTTGGATGAAAAGGCAGAAAATGATGAGTTTCATCTATTCACAATTTTGTAACATTTTGAGGAGACTCTTTCTGTTGTGAAATCTCAGTGGTTTATTATCTTTATGGTGTTATACATTTTGTGGAAGAAAAATCTGACAAGAAATCAAAATTCTGTCTTCTCCCGCTACAACTTCTCTCAGTGCTTTTTGCGCTTTGTATATCAAAACACAAAGTGTGACGATAACTTTATTGGCAATGTGAATTCGTTTATCTTTTATGTGTGATTAATACGTTAATTGAACCCACTATTTTAGTATTATTGGAACCTGATAATAACGAACTGTTAGACTGCCGTTACAGTGAACTTGTCACGGACGGACAGACAGACGGACGGACGGACAGACGGACTTGGCGAGCACAATAGTGCATTTTTCTCATAAATGAGAAAATGCGCTAAAAATCAAAAAGCGAAAAGAAAACATGTCAATTGACAACGTAATGAGTATGCAAAATGATATTACTAAAACTTTGCGCAAGCAAGATTTTGGTTTTTATCAGCAAGAAAAATTTTCCGCAGCCTCGAACTGACACTCTGTCAGTAATTGTGTAAAAGAAGCCTATATAGAATGAGAATATTCTATAACAGGTTATCAATAGAACAGAAAAAATACTTTACCAGCTCGGATTTCCGCCCACAAAGTGGATGTCCAAACGAACGAAGGAGACGTAATCATCAAGTAATCTGGATACCATAATCAAGTATCAAGTAATCATCAAGTAATCTGGATACTATAATTAGCCCAACAATTTATTTGCGTGCTATTGGCGCAAATACAGCGTGTAGAAAATGCAGCATGCATGGCTACTGGTCCATGAAGTACGCTTCAATTAGGTACCATAATTAACCCAATAATTTATTTGCGTGTTATTGGCGCAAATATAGCGTGTAGAAAATGCAGCATGCATGGCTACTGGTCCATGAAATACGCTTAAATTATGTACCATAATTAACCCAATATAGCTAACTTGCGAGTTATTGGTGCAAATTCAGCGTAAAAAAACACACGCATATGCGCATGGCTGCTGGTCTCTGAAGTACGTTTAAATTAGGTACCATAATTAACCCATTAGCTAACTTGGACGTGGAGCGCGAATTCAGTGACCTTGTGATGAGTTCGGGACTTTCTAGTCCCCGGTCACGCTGATGCACCGCCTTCGTCGTCCTCCGTCTCCGAGTCGTCGCTATAGGCAGGTCACCCCGTCAGTGTGAAGAAGCTCACGCATTCAAGGCGTGAGCTTTGCAAGCGTAAGAAATCGTCACTGAGGTATGATTTCTTAAAACAAAATCGTTACTGAGTCATGATTTCTTAAAACAAAATCGTTACTGAGGTATGAATTCTTGAAACAAAATCGTTACTGAGGCATGATTTCTTGAAACAAAATCGTTACTGAGGTATCATTTCTTAAAAATCGTTACTGAGGTATGATTTCTTAAAACAAAATCGTTCCTGAGGCATGATTTCTTGAAACAAAATCGTTCCTGAGGTATGATTTCTTAAAAATCGTTACTGAGCAATGATTTCTTAAAACAAAATCGTTGCTGAGGTATGATTCTGTCTCTTATACACATCTAGATGTGTATAAGAGACAGGCGTATCACTGCTCAGCGTATCACTGCTCAGCGTATCATTGCTCAGCGTATCACTGCTCAGCGTATCACTGCTCAGCGTATCATTGTTCTGCGTATCATTGTTCTGTGCACCAAAGCTCTCATTCATAATTTCCCGCTTAGCACTCGGCAGTTATTTCTCATATCAATTATCGCATGAGAAAATAATAATTTTGCAGCTAGAAATTCCCTATTATTGAACTAGATTAAAGTAAATAAAAAAATGTCTTTGTTACCCGCTAAGTTTGCTCTGCAAGTCTCCTTGATCATCAACTATCGTTAATTATTACGCTCCGTCGTGTAAAGGTCGCGTCTTTCATCAGCATTCCGGCCGTCCTGCACCCTGAGGAACGACAGAGTAACGGGCGCTAAAACTGACACTGACCGACGAGCTATGGCGTCTGACGTCAGCAATATTGCAACATCACAGCAATAAATATTCTAAACATATCCTAATTTATACATTAATATAAGACTTTATGTAACATATATAAGCGATCATAGAGATTCCTGAACATTAAGAGGAACTTTTTTCCTCTTATGTGTGACAACCAATGATTAATTAATTATAATTATTTTTGGGATTATTTATAATTGATACATTAATTTTTGGGAGAATATGTGCTTTTTTCACCTAACCAATGTTCGTAGACCAATATAATATACCCTAAAACCTACATCATGATTACACACATTTTATTTTAAAACAAACACTGTTTTAATTAGAAGCAATGTTTTAATCAAAACAATCGGTCTAGCTCAGCTACAACAAGTTATTTCAATTATTTTCTATCGCAACCTAAATGCTGAAATCTTTCACGATCTTCTACGAGGTTATCAACGGTCATCAATGCCAAAAATTATGCAGTCTTCATTATATATCAAAATACAGTTATTTTCAACTATATATTATTATGCTAAACTTGTGTAATCTTGAAGCATGAAGTTCAGGAGTGTCTTAGGTACATGGGCCTCATAGGTGTGTTAATGGTGTATGATATGCGTGTGTCAGGTACACGGGCTTCATAGGTGTGTTAATGATGTATGATATGCGTGTGTCAGGTACACGGGCTTCATAGGTGTGTTAATGGTGTATGATATGCGTGTGTCAGGAGCATGGGCTTCATAGGTGTGTTAATGGTGTATGATATGCGTGTCATGGGCTTCATAGGTGTGTTAATGGTGTATGATATGCGTGTGTCAGGAGCATGGGCTTCATAGGTGTGTTAATGGTGTATGATATGCGTGTGTTAGGTACATGGGCTTCATAGGTGTGTTAGTGGTGTATGATATGCGTGTTCCAAGCGTGTTCGATATACGCGTGTCTGCCTTTAGCGACTTTGTTCTGATTTAGTTGTGCTTGACTTGTTTATTTTGAGTTCTTCCCACTCGTTACTCAATTAGAGCTTTTGCTTAACTTTAGGTGATTTCAGAAATAATAAAATGCGTTTAAAAATTACTTTTAAAGACAACACGCCTAAAGAATCCAGTGTCTCCGATGTCACACATGTATAATGAATTTCTAGTTTTATTATCAAATATGAAAAAATTAATTTTTAAATTTTATTCTAAATTAAAAAAATTAAATTTTTCAAAATTATTTATTCTGTCAATTAATAGATGCATTGTTTCCGAATTTACGCAAGTGTGGAAAATTTCAGATCGATTTGACAGGTAGAAGTATGTTAAATATCGATTACAAGATTTGCCGCAGACAATTTTTTTTTAATTTTTTAATATCGAAAAAAAAACTTTTCAAAATTATTTATTCTGTCGATTGATACATGCATTGTCTCCGAATTTACCCAAGTGTGCAAAATTTCATATCGATCGGGACAGGTAGACGTGTGTTAAATATCGATTATAAGATTTGTAGCCGACAAATTTTTTTTAATTTTTTAATATTAAAAAAATACATTTTTAAAGTTAATTATTCTGTCAATTGATACATGCATTGTCCCCCAAATTTACGCAAGTGCGAATTTCAGATCGATTTAACAGGTAGAAGTGTGTTAAATATCGATTATAAGGTTTGTAGCAGACAAACAAACAACAAGAAGTGAAGTTAAAGAGATATGTTGTAATAAAAAGTTCATACAGACTAAGATCGTGTCTCGCTGTTCAGTCTCTCCACAGATCGTGGTGATCCCGATCGTGTCGTGCATCATCGTCTTTCCGATCGTGGTTCTGATCGTGATTTGCGCGCTGCGCTACCGTGCGATGCGCGCACGACGCTTCGACAAACTTACACGAGGGTGAGGCTTCATCATGCACGCTTTATCGGTGCATTTTACAGTTACTTCTCATTCATTTTACCATTACTACAATTTCATTCATATTATAGAATAGAATAGAATAGAATAGAATAGAAATGTCGGCACTGAAGAAATAGGCCCATGGCCTGTTGCCGATTCTTGAATTTTTCGTGACTTGATTGCATTGTTACTAATTATACATTACATTGTTACTAACGTTTCTTTTACTTATTTCAAGCCTACGTAGTACCTCGATTAGTATATGCGTCGGTTATAAATTGCACGCTCGGTTATATGTCACGCACGCTTCATCGGTGCATTTTACCGTTACTTTTCATTCATTTTACCATTACTACCATTTCATTCATATATATCTGTTACATTGTTACTAACGTTTCTTTTACTTATTTCAAGCCTACGTAGTACCTCGATTAGTATATGCATCGGTTATACAGGGTGAACGGGAATTAACTGACCCTTTTAATTTGTTAATAAATAGAAAACTAAGAACGTTATGAAATTGAAACTTGTTTCATTTAAAAGAAGAACATTTTTATAGTAATATTGTATCCTAGTTAAAATATTGTATCCTATTACAATATTTTATTATTGTATTAGTTAAAATATTGTATGTAATATTGTATCCTAGTTAGTTATTGTATCCTAAAAACTAGGATACAATATTTCCATAAAAATGTTCTTCTTTTAAATAAAACAAGTTTAAACTTCATAACGTTCTTAGTTTTTTATTTATTAACAAATAAAAAGGGTCAGTTAATTCTGGTTCACCCTGTACAGTATATTCTCGGGCCATGTCACGCACGCTTCATCGGTGCATTAACCGTTACTTTTTATAATTTCACGCATATTTATCTATTACATTATTAATTATTTTTTCTTCTACTTCTTTGATTTATTTCAAGATTACAAGGTACATTGAGTATAGTAAATTGTCATATAATAAATTTGGATTGAATTTTTATAACTCCTTCATATACATGTCATTTTTAAATCATTTTTTCGACACTCCTCGAAATTAAGGGAAGGCCTTGTCATATGCACGCTTTATCGGTGCATTTTACTGTTAATTTTTACAATTTCATTCATATATATCTATTACATTATTACGAATGTTACTTTTACTTATTTCAAGTCTACACTGACTAGTAAATTGAGTTTTAATAGATTTGGATTGAATTTTTATAGCTCTTTTCATGTACATTTCAATTTTTTTATTATTATTTTTTCGACACTTTTCGAAATTACGAAGAAATTGTACATGTATTCTTCACTCATTTTCAAATTTTTTTAACTCACGCTTAACATGCAATCAATTCATTCAATTCTTTTAACATTCTGCACAAGTTTCTCATATTTTTAATATACGTATTTTATTACAATTTTCATAATCATTTCCTACAACACACCTGCTTCCAGCATTTCTCATACACTTCCTATGCATCAGATAACGTACATCATAGAGCTTATATATATGCTTCTCATACATATTACCTATACGTTCATCAAACGCTCTCATATATACAGCTTACTTATCCGTTCATCATACAGCTTACATTCGCTTCTCATGCATCTTACATGCGTTCAAAATACAGATTGTATACTCCTCGTACACCTTACATACAGACATCATACAGCTCAAATATACGTTTTTCATACATCTTACAAACGTTCATCATGCTGTATATGTTTCACATACATAAATGCATCATGCAATCTTATACATACGTTTCTCATACATCTTACATACGTTCATCATGCAGTTTATAAACTCTTCTCATTCATCAATGCATCATGCAAACGTAAGTAACTTCCATAGTTTGTATCTTTTTGCGTGTTTATTGGAAATGCACAGTAGTTATCTGGAAATGTTATATTATGTTATATGTTGTTATGTACGTTATTATGTATTATATATGTTATTATGTTATTACAGTGGAAATGTTATAGTACGAGGTAGGGAAATGATTTTTCTTTCCAGTCTCCTGCTCACAAACTTTCACAATACTGTAGCTCTATTACTATAAGGAGTAATATACAACAACAATTAACTGCTTTACTTTCTATTCGAATTAAGAGAACTTGGGAAATTAGATGCTACAAGACAATCAAAACAAAGTAATTTCAATTGTAATTATTGTTAGGAGGAACAGGAAGTTGTTCTGAGTTTCAAGAATCTCTTCATTACACGAGTTGCCGGAGAGCACAAAACAAGCGACAAATTTCAACTGCTTAACTACACAAGGCTTTTATAATAGCCGAAGTAAATGTGGCGGGTCCAGGTAATGTATTCCAGGACCGCATCGCCTTTTATGTCCGCAGAAGCCGTCCAGTAAGCCACGGAATTGGGGAGGCCAGGGTAACGGCTATAGGGCAGAGATGTGAGGCTCAAGGGGTATGTGAGATCCCCTATACGATCGAAATTTCCCCAATGTAAGAAATTTTGTTTTTCTGTGCAAGTAAAGGATAATAACGATGATGCTCCGTAACTTATTTTCACCGCGAAACGTATCCGGGTTTTAAACTGCATATAATAATGTAAATATTCGATTTCTTTGCTTGTATGATCCTTTACGATTTGGTATGTAATTCGTGTAATTTTTCGCTCAATGACAGAACATTTTGCGTTTCAAAAATTATCGTTTGTGTCAAGTTATTGTATAGGACCTGTTCACTCTAACGGAGCATAATTGTATGACCTCTCGACTACAATAGATTGATAAACTCGCACAGTCACATTGTTTTCTCCACCAATTTTTTACATCGTTTTGATTTCAAAAGAAAATAACTATAATACATCATTTCGTTCGTAAATTTTCCTGCGCAAGTTGTTTCATTCATCTTCATGACGAAATTAATCATGAATTCGCCGGTTCAATTTGAGGAACTTCGATTTATTCTTCAGTCTTCTACAAAATGTCAGGTCACATAAGTAAAACCTCTAAATAATGTAAAAAGTATATACAGGGTGTTTCAGAATTAAATAACCCTTTTAATTTGTTAATAAATAAAAAACTAAGAACGTTATGAAGTTGAAACTTGTTTTATTTAAAAAAAGAACATTTTCATGGTAATATTGCATCATAGTTACGTCATTATCCTGTATAGCTTGCTAAATTTGTGTTTAATTGTCAAGCCTTAAATTTTCATCATGATTCGCTACAGCAAAGAAGAAAGAACAAAAATTATCGCTACAGTCAATAACGATGTCAATAACAGAAGTTCAACGTGATTACAGGATCCATTTCGAAACAAGGATCCTTCAAAAAACACATTTAAATATCTAATATTTAAAAACTAGGATACAATATTACCATAAAAATGTTCTTCTTTTAAATAAAACAAGTTTCAACTTCATAACGTTCTTAGTTTTTTATTCATTAACAAATTAAAAGGGTTACTTAATTCTGAAACACCCTGTATTACTCCACGGTTGAGATGACTTTCCTAGTTCGCGCATCGACTTCCGACAAAAAGCTATCATAAATACGTGTATACGACTGATAATGGTCGGCCGGCAATGCTTCGGCTGAAATTTTAATTATGCGTTGAATTAGCTCCTTTAACTTTGAGGTCTATAATTGGAAGCCCTGTAACCGTTTCAAGTGTCGCAATGTTTTTGACAGTTTTATACAAGTTATGTAATTGGACAACAAGTTAGAACTGAAAAGTCCCAGAAACTTGTTGCGAGTTCTAGCATCTGGATGGTTCGGGAAAATGCGCTACGATTTTGTTCTGTCCCATTTTGTTACACACAGTTTGGTTCTGTTCTGCTAGTTTTATTTTTTACCATCTTGTTACAAACAGTTAGGTTCTGTTTTGTACCATCTTGTTACACACAGTTAGGTTCTGTACTTCTAGTTTTGTTCTGTACATTTTTGATCGGCGTTACCGTTCTGTCCTGAACAAAGCTTCTGTATTCTGTATCCAAAACTTATGTGTGTATTAGAAATTTGAAAGTTACTTGAATTTGTGGACCTTTTGACTTATGGACCGCGCTGCTTATCACGAACTGATCTCTGTGTTAAGAACACATGAATCACATGCACACTAAGCAAACAGATCTCACTACGTGCTATAACAACGTTATAGTTGTACGTTATTACTTCTCGTATAGGATTGAAATTTTAAATGCACGTATTTATTGTAATAACTTTCCTGTTCTCTGCGTGCAGGCGACGCCTGGCGCTGACAGGCGAGCACGAGGCGCGGGCGGCGCTCGACGCCTGTAAGGACGGTACGTGGATGGAACTTTTTTGTGATGAACGTGGTTAATTAATACGTTAACGGAGCGTTATCTCCTAGAGTGCATTTTATGGCGGCTATTTTGAGTGCCTTAAAATAGACTAATAATCATATGCGTGACCGGTGCGTTATCTCCTAAAGTGCATTGTATGAGGCTATTTTGAGTGCCTCAAGATAGACTCTAATAATCATTATCCTCTGCATATGTGTGAATGTTTAGGGCAAGATACTTGATGTCTCAAGATAGACGATTGTCTTCTGCAAGTGTGAATGTTTAGGGTAAAAATATTTGATGCCTCAAGATAGACGATTATCCTCTGCAAGTGTGAATGTTTAGGGCAAGATACTTAATTGATGCCTCAAGATAGAAGATTGTTCTCTTCAAGTGTGAATGTTTGGGGTAAAATACCTCAAGATATATAGGCGATTGTCCTCTGCAAGTGTGATTGTTCAGGGCAAGATACTTGATACCTAAAGATCGACGATTGTCCTCTGCAAGTGTGAATGTTTTTTTTTTTGGAGATGTTTTGTGCCTCAGGACAGACAATAGTCATCTGGAAAAGTGTCACTGCATGTATAGATAATTATAGGGGAAATATGTTATTGGTTGTCTCTTAATGGCCGATATACAACATCTGCATCGTTTCTGTATCAATGAGTATATGATGCCAGCATGGTATCAGTCTCACCATGCATCAGTGAGCAACTGATAGCTGCACTGCGTTCTTACAAGATGATGGGAGTCAAGCTGCTTGCCCTCACACAAATTCCAAAACTAATTAAGTTTGTGAAGCTTGCATATGGCTTCGATTCAACGAACTCGTCCGCGATGAAGACGAAAACAAAGCTGCCGTCCGACACCTCATCGAGATACCTTTCGTGTTACCCTCTGTTGCAGTGATACCCTCATCAAGATACCTGCCATGATACCCTCTGCATCATAGCAACGTTATGCTCATGTATTCGGAAGTGATGGTTTCTTTATAAGGTCGCATTACCCACATCCTTCGATGCATAGATTCTGAATTCGTCGCCGGCTTTCTCGCCGCTCAGGGCCTATACTTTCAAAAAAAGTTAAGAGATCGTAAGTTCATCAGCCAATCATTGACGGCCTTTCAAGCCAAATAGACAAGAAAATAGAGCGTAAGTACTTACGTTCACTTAGCGAGTTTTGAAAGTATGGCCCCTGAATTGTATCCATTCGGGTAATTGCTAGCGAACTTTGCTATTTAATATTACTAAAGACATTAACGCAATAGATTTCGGTTTAATAATGTCTCCTGTGCCCATAATGCAAGAAGTGCATTCAACTCGATAACCTTAAATTTAACCATAAATATATAACGCTGTTGAACTGTCTTCCACCAATCATTTCTTAACTGCGTGTCGCATGGCTACCCAATAAAAACACAATGTACATACTCTCTGCCCAAATTTTTCCATCTAAAGCCGAAATTGTTTTTACTCATAATCTTCTGACTGAAAATTACGCATAAATTTTACGAATTTTCTTCATATTTGATTTCGTTCGTTCCCGTTGAGTTTTATTTGAAAATCGTTTCCGTAAAACTCTCAACAAAAGGTGTTAAAGAAAAGTGCTCTTCCACTTCACGACAGCGCCGAAGTTTTTCTTTAGTGCCTCAGTTTTGCCAGGGCCCTCATCAACATAACCTCGATGACTTGGTTTTTGTGAGGTGTCGACCACGGAGGAAGGTGTTGACCATGGTTTTTCCTCCATGGTTTTTCCGTGGTTTTGACCATGGTTTTCCCCCTTGGTTTTTGTGAGGTGCCGACCATGGAAGAAGGTGTTGACCATGGTTTTTCCTCCATGGTTTTCCATTGTTTTGACCATGGTTTTCCCCTTGGTTTTTGTGAGGTGTTGACCATGGAGGAAGGTGCTGACATGTGAGGTGTCGACCACGGAGGAAGGTGTTGACCATGGTTTTTCCTCCATGGTTTTCCATGGTTTTGACCATGGTTTTCCCCCTTGGTTTTTGTGGGGTGTTGACCATGCGGTTGTCAAGGCTGGCAACCGCAATCACGATTCATGAGGAGCACCTTATCGATTCTAAGCAAAACGAGCAGTAACCTTAAGTAACGCCCCACGTTATGAGAGTGTTAGGTCACTCTGGGATTCAAAAGAAGCAAGATTACAGCTCATTACCGCTCAAGATTACCGCAAGATTACCCAATGTGGTGAAGATTGAGATCGATACTGATGTTATATTTGTAAGATAATGGTATATTGATATTAAAACTATGTGCCAAATGAGACTTCACAATCAAAAAAATCTTTCAGGAAATTTTGCAGCTCGAAATGATTTTGGGAAATGCACGTATTTTGGAACCCACAAACCCATTATTTTGGCTAGAATGAAACCCCTTAGTTAAAATCATAGCTTTATTTTATTCACTGAGAAATTTTCTTTAGGATTGCAATAATTTGTTTTACAAAAGTTAAATTAGGTGAGGAAGCTTTCATTACATATCTCAATATTATTATAATTATTGTCGTTAGTTTGCATCGACTTGATGTGAGCAACGACGTGACAAATTTTTTTGAGCTCATTACAGTACAAATTAGCCTAAAAAAAATAACCTTTCCATCCAACAATTGACAACAGAATTTTTTGTACTACAAGGACTCGTTTTTAGCGTCTAGATTTTTCTAGTATTTTGACTAGCATTACTACAATAAAACCAAGTCATTTCTGTGTTGCCAATCACATCAATTAATTTATATCTGTATACCCTATGCCACTATATAAAACGGAAAATACCAAATATTTAGAACCCTTAAAAAAATACTGACGACAATTCAACCTTAATATATATCCGAATGACACTTTAATAATTTCAAACGCTTTGCTAGAAAACAACCTGCTGCTGCCGAAGTCTGTCCCCAATGATCTCTGTCTCAGTCACCTACAGAGACACATGGTATTTTATTGCAACGTATTTTCTCGTCTTGGTTCAGTTCTCGGTCGCTTGGGGAAAATACTTTTCGTCTTTCTCGTCGCAGAGTCCGCTATAATTTCAACAGTGAAATTCATTTTCGCTGGGTTCGGCACATGTAAACATCGAATCTTGTCTGGCATCTCTGCCTCTTTAATCACTCCTCGAAAAACGTTTTTTTTCACTTGAATCACTCCTCGAAAAACGGTGACTCGGCCCGAAATTTTTGCTGGGTTGACATGGCAAGAACGATCTGTTCTTCAACTTAATCAACTTACCTTAATTTTTATAATATATTATTATTATTTTTACTAAACATTAAATCGAATCTTAAAATTGCAATGGAGGAGTTCAGCAAGCTAAAAATGCGTTTCATACAGATGCTTCCAAAGTAAAAGTAGTAAATCTCCTAGCTTTGAAGAAACGATATTTTTTAAATGGAATTGATAATAAATTAATTGATTTAGCGTCCTAATATTGTATATACACCCATACCTATTCATCCACATGTTGTGCGCACCCATATCTACTCATGCCCTATCTACACCCACATCTGCTCAAGCCACATCTACTCATGCCCTATCTACACCCACATCTGCTCATACCATATCTACCCCCACATCTACTCAAGCCACATCTACCCCGAAATTAACTACCCGCTTCTCGCGCAGGCCGACCCTTCGTGCAGTGCAAGAACGGCAGGAGGAAGACTGTCGTGAGGTGAGCGCAGCTGGAACCCATTAAAAAATATATTTAACAAATTGTTTTATAAAGTAATGAATGTAAAATCCAAGTAAAAAATAAGTATTTTTAGAATTACACTGGCGGTAGAGCTTCGCGTTGCTGGGAATAGATAAGTCCTGGGATTTGTGAATTCGGGCTTGAAATCTAATTCTTTGCAAGAGAATAAATAGTAAGATATTACAAAACTTCACACGTATAAACATACTTAAAACTTCCAAAAATATAAATAAAAGTTATTAAATTCACCTTCATAATTTTCCGCAATTGCACCAATTCATGCCAAGTTATGATAAGAATTATATGATAAGAAATATAGCACACTTGTTATACAGGGCGTGCTACGTAGCGCATTCAATTAACTAATGAGATCTTTCAGGAGAAAATAGTCATTGACAGGCGGACAGTAGAAATCCGGTCCGGTAGGAATTTTTATATTATATTTTCTTTAGGCGTGATGACATTTCTCCGGCACCACTGCACATGAATACCAGATACATTCGGTAAACTATTAACAACTTGTATTATAACAATTAACGAAATTTGTTTTGAGTGCGAAAAGATTTTACTACATTAACTTTAATCTTTTTTCAAGAAAATGTAAACTGGACTTCACGAGTTCCAAACTTTTAATTTTAACACGAAAAAGTACGATACAGACTAATCTTCGTATTTCAGTTAAAATATGTTCAATTATGACGAACTTTTTCTCTGTCAGGTTCAAACCAATGCCAGAGCTTGACCTGGACACGGTAGTGGAGGAACGATCAGAGTTTGACGCAGAAGTGAACGCCATGGAGCTGCTACAGGCGCCCCAGGACCCCAGCAAGCTGTGTGTCATCAACCACCCAATCTCCTTCCGGAGTTTCCGGTTCGGTTATGGCGCCTCCGGCCTACCGCTTAAAAGAACCAGCCATTACGAAAGGCCCATCGGCTCTCCCAAGCCGAAGCGAGCGAGAGAAGCGAGTGAAAACACAGAAACTTCTACGGATAAAAAAACAAGTGAACAAGGGACTGCTGCAAGATCAGTGACTACAAACACGGCCTTAGAAACACCGTCACCCTTTGCTGAGCTGCCGCTGCTCACGACAGACGTCGATAACAACATCGTGACTTCAGATTCAGCGCCGTTAAACTGTACTCCTGAAGTTAATGCCCTCTCCTACGATAAAAGTGAGTCATTAGAATATAAATCTTGTATTGGCTCGGGTGCAGGGAGCGAAGGGTCTTTTGTTATACCGAGCGTCTCAGTGCAATCCTATCGTGAAGATGTCAGCTCCGAGGAATCTTTCTCATACATTGATAAATCTGAAGAAGTGCAACTTGTGAACGAGCTTTCTAATTCAGCAGTGAGACTATCCACGGTCGGTTATCAAAGTAAATTAGCTTCTACTGAATCAACTCATGTACATACATCACAACTACCTAGAAGAACGAGTATATCGGATTCGATTTGCCCACTAAAATCTGGAGACGATTTCGATCACCAGAATTTTTGTCATCGTAAAAACGCCTCACCACCACGAACTCAACTCGGCCAGACTGGGCCTCACGCCTCCCCATTTCGAAGTCCACTCGGCACGACTGGGCCTCACACCTCCCCATTGCGAAGTCCCCTCAGCACGACTGGGCCTCACGCCTCTCCATGGCCAAGTCCACTCAGTACGACTGGGCCTCACGCCTCCTCATTACGAAGTCCACTCAGCACGACTGGGCCTCACGCCTCCCCGTTGCGAAGTCCGCTCGGCTCAACAATGCCTCACGCCTCCTCATTACGAAGACCACTCGGCACGACTGGGCCTCACGCCTCACCATTAAACAGGAGCAGAAGGCGTCAAGTGAGCCATAAACCGACACATTTGGACGATCCCCTCGACAACCGCCAAATCATCCAAATCCGTCGTAGCAACGGCGATGATGACATTAAATTATCAAATGATCAGAATTATGCCTCCATTTCTACCCTCAATAATAGTGATGACGACAATAAATTCATCATTCCACTTCATGAAAGCAGTTCCCCAGATTTAATGGTTGTAAGAAATAGTACAGGCTTCTTGGTCTCGGACAGTGACAGCAGTGCTGTTAATTCCGTCGTCAGCGAAACTTTTCCTAGTGAACCCAATAAAAACTTAAGTGGTTGTGATGACGTGACAGATATTAGAACTTGTCTGGGCAAGTGTGATGAGAGCGATGGTGATGATAGTGATGGCGACGAGGTTTAATCATCATCGAGGTTAAAAGAGCGATGGTGACGAGGTTTAATCAAGACATCACACTGTTAGAAAAATTACCGTTAACGGTATTACCGGCGTTTCAGTGACCGGTCGGCACGTGAAAAGAAACACCGTGTCGCCGTTTTCATTCCAATTTAACACTAGAAATACGTAAAAAAAAACTGATAAAAACGGCAAAACAATTTATGTTCACGTGGCAACCGGCCACTGGAATGCCGGTGGGACCGTTTTTTCATCGTTTTTTTCTAACAGTGCACCCTCTTGTTCTGCTGTGGTTTTTAGTGCTGCGAACCGGAGTTTATTTTTAGATTTTCAGTGTTGTTTCTTCTTCTGCGGTGGACTTGTATGTTATGGAAACATATTACGCTTCATATGGTAATTTTGAACTGAATATTGATGCATGTTCGAATGTGTATATAAGTAAATGAGGTTTGATGCAATGTTCTTAAAACTTGACTTTTTTAATTTCTTATATGTAATAATATGAGTAAGATGTTTCATATTTTTAAATAATCTTCGATTTTTTTTTCACACCAGAAAGAAAATTTATGCGTGCGTGATCATAACGAAAAAAATGTACACGCATTTATACGAACATGTGAAAAATTTGCATTTCTTATTTACAACAATTCTTACACATGTAATTTACTTTTTAAATTATTTATGTATGCCAGGGCAATCTCAATGTACTCAATCTTGACAGACCAGTGCATTTATTTTCCGATTTAAAATTATCAAAATATCTGTAAAAATTTATGTCAAACCGATATTGTTCGTTTCATTTTCCAAATAAAACGATTTACTGACGAAAAGTCTTGCGAACTGCATTTCTCTCCATGTAAGTTTTATAAAGTTTCACAGATGCTAGAAATTTCCCCGATCAAAACGTTTAAACTGAAAATAATATTATTTTGTATACCATATACCATTATAACAGAAGATATATTTTTTTCCCCAGCAATTTTTGTTTTACATTGTTCATTTTTTTCCAAATTACTAACACTCCACTTCTATGCATTCATTCATAGATCACGTTTTATTCTAATTTGTTCATTTCATTTTGCTGGAACCGTATATTTGCAGAGAATTATTTGTATATTTATTATTACCGAACGAGACTTGAGCCTCTAATGCAGCTTTCACAACCGCAATGCGTTCAAATTTATTGAGTTCAAAAAATTTCAAGATAAAGTAAATTAATCTATTAAAGAAAATATAATAAGGTTCTTCTTTTTTTAATTTTCAATTATTTTTCCTAGCTTCGTTTTTTAAGATATTTGTTCCACGTTTATCTCTACAGGAGTTTTGCTTCGGTATCTTTGAAGCGTTTACGAACACTATTTGGTTAAATTTGAATTGTTTAGCAAAGAATTTCGTGTCCAAGAGTAACGTTCAATACTATAAAGAATAATACTAAATAAATCCCAATAATAACTTTAATATTTATAATACAGTAAGCATACTCCTCCGCAAAAAACTTAACAATTCCGCATTGTTAACAAGAATTTCTCGCCAGCATAAATTTCTTTCTCCAAATCCAGCTTTCCGTGATCTTGAACCTGTAGCTTAAGTGCATGGTGACGGTAACGCACAATGACCACAGTCGTACACGTTCGATCACGTTCGTGACGTCATAAACCAACGTTTCCTTTTCCTCAATTGGCGTGAAACCGTGATGATCCAGCGTTGCCAGATGGTATATTTCTATACATCACGTTAGTGACGTCATAAACCAACACCAACGTTTCCTTTTCCTCAATTGGCGTGCAACCGTGACGATCCAGCGTTGCCAGATGGTATATTTCTATACATCACGTTCGTGACGTCATAAACAAACGTTTCCTCAATTGGCGTGAAACCGTGACGATGTCGCACGTCCAGCCCGCTGAAGCTGGCTCGAAAGAAGCAGCGTTAGCATCTCAAAGAGACGAAGTGACAAGGATGGACAGGTGACAAGGAGGGACAGGTGACAAAGAGGGACAGGTGACAAGGAGGGACAGGTGAAAAGGAGGGACAGGTGACAAGGAGGGACAGGTGACAAGGAGGGACAAGTGAAAAGCAACAGAAACTAAGACACTCGAACAGGAGGTCGCTTACACGGAACGTCGGCCGCCCGCACGAGAGAGACAGGGAAGTGAAATGCAAGAAATCCTACCTACATAATAACTTGATGTAATGAATCCTATTTACATGATAACTTAACCTCACACTGCCCTATTTACACAATAACTTACAACGTAACCACATAACTGAGACCCGCAGTCAGACACTGCGAGTTGCGCGGTGGGGCGCTCAGGAAGAATTCCCTAGGTGCGCGAAATCTCATTGGACTTCTGACGAGCAAAGACACGTCAGAAGTCCTCTCTGAGGGGAGAGATACATCATAGAACCACGATTTGCAAGGTACATACTATTGCCACATTATTACCACTAGGCTTATTCGATCTCGGTAGGGAATTGCGGTTCTAAGCGAGTTCTTAGTTTCAGCGCTTATTAGGCCGTAGGCCTTTCCCCGATTCTTAATATTGCAGAACATCCACGCAGCATGGTGCGCAACGTGAACAGACTTCGTTGCACGCTTCAAGCCTAAACAGAAGTCATTTAAACAATTCGGTCCATGAAACCTTTCTCACATGATATTATCATGCACGCAAGTGAGTGAAAGCACAGCTATTCTTCCGAAGAAATCGCGTCACTGTTCATAACTTTCGCGCCATCATAATTTTGCAAACTGTGACTAGGCGATATCAATCTATTGACGAGATCGAAAATTTATTCGATGTTCATCGTTCACTCATTCGCTCAAACTCCCTGATGAAGCATTTATTTACTGTGTTAGTACATCGCCGTCAGCACGCCAATATTTGAAACACATTGGTCGGTACAGAGAGGTACAGGGCCATACTTTCAAAACTCGCTAAGTGCACTTAAGTACTTACGCTCTATTTTCTTGTCTATGGTTGGTGGATTTTGCTCGAAAGGCTGTCAATGATTGGCTGATGAACTTACGATCTCTTAACTTTTTTGAAAGAATAATGCACGTAAGTACTTACGCTGTATTTTCTTGTCTGTGATTGGTGGATTTTGCTCGAAAGGCCGTCAATGATTGGCTGATGAACTTACGATCTCTTAACTTTTTCTGAATGTATAGGCCCTGGAGGGGACAGGAGGTACAGGGTGATAGGTCTACTTTACAGGTGTCAAGTAGACCATCCATTGAATATGTCTTGCCTGCATGTCAGTATTTAGATGAAAAAGTGTATGTCAAATTTGCATTATATGATATACATTAAATGTTTTGAACAATGCGCTTCGAAATATTTCATCCATTACTTCCATTCATTAAAAAATTTGACATTCTGCTATTTTGGGGAGTACAATATACCATACATCCATTATATCTATCTCTCTACTTCCATTACCATTGGAACCATGTTATGGAAAAGGCATTAAATTTCATTACATTGGCAGAGAGAGAAATGTTCGGGGCTGTTTTGATTTTGAAAACTACTTTGAATTTAATAGTCATAAAAATACTATTGCAACTATCAATGCCTACGCATATTATGAGATGACATCATGCGACTAGACTTGTCTCTTCGTCTGCAATATTACATACTGTGTCGACAGTTTGTGCCTGTCTTCTTTTTCCAGTTCATTTTAAAAGAAGAGTCGTCTGGATTCCAGACGACTCTTCTTTTCGTCCAGAAAAGAAGAGTCGTCCTGCGCCTGTCTTCTTTTTCCAGTTTACTTTAAAAGAAAAGTCGTCTGGACTACAGACGACTCTTCTTTTCGTCCAGAAAAGAAGAGTCCAGAAGAGTCGTATGGACTCCAGACTCTAGAGCATTGCCACGACGGCCTCGTCTGCCATCCAGGCTTATGGAAGCTCACGGCAGCTTACTTCTCGTCTCTCACAATTGTCTTGTTCTATTTACCTATCGATTCTTTGTCCTAAACGTCAACAAATCTTAACCTTATATTCCGCTTTATATTCCCTTATATAACTCAGTACTCACTGCAGTGAGTGACAGAGAGCGCATTTTCTCGTCGACGAAAACTTGAGGTCACGGACGGACGGACGGACAGACAGATCACAATAGTGCATTTTTTCCATAAATGAGAAAATGCGCTAAAAATTCGCTATTGTGCTAGTCATGTCCGTCCGTCCCGTCCGTGACTATGCAAGAGAAAATGCGCTCTCTGTCACTCACTGCACTGAGTACTGATATATTTTTTTCGCATCTCATACTCTCTTTTTGTCCTAAACTTTCAGCTTGTTGCGTTTCTTTCAACATTTTCTTCCTTTCTGCACGACTTCTTTGCGTATTTTCCCGCTACTAGATCCAGACCCGGGGCCATATACTTTCAAAATTTGCTAAGTGAACGTAAGTACTTACGCTCTATTTTCTTGTCTATGATTGGTGGATTTTGCTTGAAAGGCCATCAATGATTGGCTGATGAACTTACGATCTCTTAACTTTTTTTTTAAATTATAGGCCCCGGGCTTGTACTTTGAAAAAAATTGAAAAGATCGTAAATTCATCAGCCAATCATTGGTGGCCTTTCTAGCAAAATCCACCAATTATAGACAATAAAATAGAGCGTAAGTACTTACGTTCACTTGGCGAGTTTTTAAAATATGAGCACGAGGCCGTCTCTCGCTTCGACGTACGCGAGACGCTGCAATTTAGGAGGAATGTCAAACAATGTTGCGTTGAGTCTACGTATTGCGGCAAGTTACTATTAGTCGGGAAATATTCCAGTTAATGAAATTTATAAACAGTGACATTTTTATCGACATTGTGTACATTTTCAGCTATATTTGTTTCTGTTGTTACATTCAGGGCAAGAAGAAGGCGCCTTTGGTAAACTTGGTTTAAATAAGTCATATGGAAATCATTTTATAAATTTGTACATTTCCCTTATGTAAAAGATTCTTGCTAAGATATTTCATTAATTTTCATTGATGTTTTACCAGAAATTATTTTACTATTCACCAGCGTCAAAGCAAAACTTAAATTTTAGGTGGAAATTTTTTCATCAAATGTGCCAAAAAAGTGCGCATCGCAAGCGTATTAAGGAAAAATTGCAGTCTTCACTCAAACATCGCAATTCTTCAAGTCTTCAAATATTCTTTTTACAAAATTTACTACCGCTTACACTAATTTCAAATCTTAGGTGTAGATTTTTTCATCAAATGTATCAAAAAAGTGCGCTACGCAAGCGTATTAAGGGAAAATTGCAGTCTTCACTCAAGCATTCTTCAACTCTTCAAGTCTTCAAATATTCATTTCACAATATTTACTACCGTGAACATGAATTTCAAAGGTGAAATAAAGTCACTCTCTCGATGAGGTTTATTGCTTATAGTTTATTGACGCCAGCAAGGCGCCTCGTGCTTCATTAATTGCAATGTAACGCCATATAAAACCCTTAAAATACAAGCTCAATGGAAATATAAATCTCTTAGACATTACAAAAAATTTACACTGGGGTACAACAGACTCCTGGCAGACAACGATGCATTGCAAATAAACACGAACAATATGAATCTTTTGTTATGTTTTGTTTTGTGTTATGAATCTTTTGTTTTGTTTTTGTTTTGTTTTGTTGAAAATGAATCTCTCTAGCTTAAGAATATTGCACAACAAATATTTAATAAGCTCACTCTATAGATAGAGTGAGTTTTCGTCGCCAAAGACAGTGAGTCTTCGGTCATCATTTCAAGCTGAGCGAACAAAAAGAATTTGAAATAATCCTTAAGTTTTCATGTTCATTCATTTTGTGATATTTTTCTTACATTTCAATGAAATAGTTGTGATTTTTTAATATTTAAGAATTCATGCATTGTTGTACGTATTGTTACAATATTGTGTTTATTGATTGTAGGGTGCGATTAAAATTTTTAATTAACTTTCTGTCAAAATTATTGTTGAACATAATTAATATTATTTGAATATATCTGTGAATTGGACACAATTCCTATGGCCTTTTTTCTCGGCCCCAAAATTCATAATCCCTTCTACTGATTTCAATTTCTCACGTAACATTCTTATTGAAGCTATTGCTTATCAAACACGCGCTAAATTAAATTAATTGAAAAATACCTGGTTGACCTCAACAAATTTCACGCATTGATTTAATTCAAATTTATTTATCTTCATAAATATGCCAGTGTAATGTTAAATATCAAACCAACTTCCTGGTCACGGTCTTTTAGACATCGGCATTCCCATTCTAGGAAAGGCTACGAAATTCATTCGGGCTGCCGCTCGACAGCTGTCTGCCTCCTCTCCGGAGCTGCGTGCCATGGTTCGAGTCTCTGCGAGCAGAGAAAAATTTCAGGATACGTTCGAACTTCGCTTCAACATGAGTCTACAGATGGCTGAAGCAAGACATTAAACTTCGCGCAAGTTCGAACCCGCAAGAGTTTCAACATTCCAGGACAGAAGTCCAAGTTGTTCTACACAGTGCCAGACTATCGAAGAACCAAGATCATTTGGTCCGGGATTGCTCCTGAGAATTTATTCCCAGCGTTTCATTTGAGTTCATTCCCGTTTCGCTGTTCACTTTAGCAGAACGTCAACGTAGCCAAAGATCACGTTGACTGTCGGTTCTTCTTAGAAGAACCTGCAAAGAAAAAACCTTGAAAGTAATAGTTACAAATAAGACAACAAGTATGTAAATAATAACTTTCAAAAATGAAATATCTTTAAATGAAACTAACGCTTGCGGCTGTAATTCTACTATATATAGTTCCTACAATACTGACGTGCTCATCAGCGGACTACATAACTAATGTTAGCTGTAGGTGAAATTATCTCTTATTGTAGATAAATTTGCATCCATCTACCTATGTTTTGTTTTTATGTTATGAACCTTTTGTTTTGTTTTTGTTTTGTTTTGTTGAAAATGAATCTATCTAGCTTAAGAATATTGCACCTTAACTATATCCTACAGAACCTCAGTTCGGCAGTCAAATTCATTAGGTTAGCAACTTATGTAGCTCAACTCATTCCCCAAGAATCGCAATACCTTCCACTGTCAGACATCAAGACATAATATATCATACAAAGCATTCATGTTTTTTCATACAAAAAAAAATGCTTTCATGCACGGACATGAATCAAATCGTCCAGAGAGAATAACAAATCTGACCAGAGTGCCTCTCGAGGCTTCCAATTACCAACAAATTGGCAAGTCGAGGTAACTTCAGGTCAAAAAAATTGCTCAAAGGTTGTATCAGTGGTGAAAAATACTGCAGCTTTCTCTGTAGGCAATTCAATGAGTCGGGATTTATTGCAATAAAGAGAAAACGTCGAGCGACCTGTCACTTCTCACTGTTAGAAAAATTCCCGTTAACGGTATTACCGGCGTTAACGGTATTACCGGCGTTTCAGTGGCCGGTCGGCACGTGAAAAGAAACACCGTGTCGCCGTTTTTATTCCAATTTTACACTAGAAATCCGTAAAACATCTGATTATAACGGCGAAACAGTTTATTTTCACGGGGCGACCGGCCGCTATAGAACACCAGTGGGACCGTTTTTTCTAACAGTGTAAAACAAATGGAGCAACAACCATCGCGTTGCAGCGCAGTGTTATCATTGTAGTGCAGTGTTATCATTGCAGTGCAGTGTTATCATTGTAGTGCAGTGTTATCATTGCAGTGCAGTGTTATCATTGCAGTGCAGTGTTATCATTGCAGTGCAGTGTTATCATTGCAGTGCAGTGTTATCAATTGCAGTGCAGTGCTTGTACCAGGGTTGCCAGACGGTCATTTTTTCCGGACAAATTTTGCGATTTAGTTTTTTTTTCAATTGCGTTGGCAGGCTAAAATTCATAATAGGGTACTACCTAATTCAATTAAAAAATATATATATAATTTTTACACCGGAACCTACGAAAATAGTAGTATATATTGAGTAACATAGGCCGTTTCTGGCCTTTTTGTTCGCGGACTTGGCCGTTTTTTGGGCCATCTGGCAACCCTGGCTTGTACCATTTCGGTAAGGGACCGTTTGTTGAAAATACTTTATATGTTCCTCGTCAAAAAATTTGATACAAATCAGAAATATTTTTTCTAATCAATTAATTCGGAACATTTTCTTTCCCTGTTACACTTTACTTAATTATAACCACACTTCTTTGGTACATTTATTAAATTATGTTAACGTCAGAACGTCTTATTAGATTAATTATTGGCAGAACATCTAATTATGGTGGAAACATCTGTTCTGCGGAATCTATTTGCCAGCGCTCGTGTTCTGGGGCCGGATTATCAAAACTTCGTAACTTTTTGTACCTACGACAAAAAAGTTCTGTGGTACGTAAATACACCCTAATTTTGGCATTATCAAAATTTTCGTACGCAAGTCTTAGCTAAAAGCCTAAATTTTTCCCCCGCGCCAATTTTTCCCGTGCAAATGTTTTTTTATAATACCACCGCTAGTATTACGTTGTCATAGCAACGCCACTCGTGAGTCGATTTTGCGTACTTACGAAGTTTTGATAATCCGGCCCCTGGAAGGTAATTATGGTATCGGAAATCCATTAGCCAATCTTCGTTCATATGTCAAGTAAACTCGCAAGTTACGAGCGAGGAAATCCACTCCGAGATAGTCAGAGGAGATCCACTCAAGGACAGTCAGAGGAGATGGAGGACAAGTAATTAGTAGGAATGATGTCCGTAGATTAAGGCCTGTAAATAATGTAGGGAGTAACCGCATACATCAAAGTGAAAGCTGTCTCTTATACACATCTCTGACTAAACCACATTCGGATTCCGTTTTGAACAAAAAAAGTGAACTGTTAACTGTGATCGCAAACGAGAGTATAGACATTATTTGTATTACAGAAACACTTCCTAAAAATCACGGGGGGAAAATTGTACCTGTTGAATTTCAGCTGCCAGGTTTTGATTGTTTTCATAACTTAAATGAAGAGCAGTGCAGTAGAGGTGTAGCTCTGTGGGTTAGAACCTCTTATGGGGCCCAGCAAGTTAAGTTATCTGCAGAGCATCAATCAGCTAGAGAATCAGTGTGGTGT